TCACGGTCTCTCCTGCCCGGGCTGGCTTTGAACCTCGATCCTCAGATCTCAGCCTCCTGAGTAGCTAGGATTACAGGCGTGAGCCACCAGCGCCCGGCAACCAGCATTCTTTTTTAAAATTTAGTTATAACTGGGAACATAAGATAATTCAGGCTTTAAAAATAACTACATAAATAACATTAAAGTCTTTTTTTTTTTCCGGTCCAAGACTGGGGTTTATACTAGGTACCTGACACTTTGATTCATTGGCTAGTGTTCTATCAATTGAGCCCCGCCTCCAACCCATACATAAAGTCTTCATCATTTAAGCATCCTTCTTAGATAATTTTGATAATTTTTTGCTAAACATTTGGGTTGATCATCTAAATTTTCACAATTGTTCAGTTGTGGATTTCATACCAGCATTAATTTGATTAAATTGTCAATTGACAATGAGTTTTGAATATATTTATGTAAGATCTTTTATGTGGTTGCCTTTGGAAACTTGTGTTTAACATAGTTCATTCTCCAGAAGATTTTTATTGAATATATATTCTACCAATAGTTAGTTCCAGTATGTACTTGAATTTTTTTTTTCTGGCCCTATGGCTTGAACTCTGAGCCTAGGCACTGTCCCTAAGCCTCTTTGTGCTCGAAGCTAGTGCTCTACCACTTGAGCCACAGTACCACTTCCAGCTTTTTCTGAGTAGTTTATTGGAGATGAGAGTCTCACAGATTTTCCTGCCTGGGCTGGCTTTTGAACCACGATCCTCACATCTCAGCCCCCTGAGTAGGATTACAGGTATGAGCCATCTGTAGCCAGCCAGAATATTCATAAGATCAAACTGAGAATGACTTTAAAAAAGGTTAATTAGGTCATATACTTTTTCTACTCAACCCCTTCAGTGACTTCCCAAGTTTTCCTCACAATTAAATCAATAAAAAATCCCACAAGGCACTACATGTCCATTGCCTCTGTGATCTTACCTACTACTCTTCCTCAGTGGCCTCAGTCTTCACATTTGCTCTTCCTTTTGTTTTAATAGTTCTTTCCCCATAATCCAAGTTCCTTTACTTTAAAGTTGATTTTATCTTTGCTTTTTGCTGGTCATGGGCTTGAATGCTGGGGCCTGGGCTCTTGACTCTGACCTTTTTTTGATCAAGGATAGCACTCTACGACTTGAGCCATAGCACCACTTCCAGCTTTTTCTGAATAGTTTATCAGAGATAAATAGTCTCATGGACTTTTCTACCTGAGCTGGCTTTGAACTGTGATCCTCAGATCTCAGCCTCCTGAGTAGATAGGATTACAGGCATGAGCCACTGGCGCCCGGCCAAAGTTATCCTAAAAAGACTTTTTATAAGTCAGTGTTGTAATGTGGCCCATTTAGTAGACTTGGTTGGTAGGACCAACCAAAATATCTCTGTCACTGTGGTTTAATGATAATAAACTGTTTCAGTTCTATATGTTCAAGTAATAACAGTTTCACTAAAAAAACAAAAAACAAACAAAATAAAAACACTTTTCAAAGATGTCAGCAATTTGGTATTGGATTTTTGCCCATGGTAGCAAAGTTCTACATAAAAGAATCAAGATTAGATCTGGGAATAACCCTGAATCTTTTTCTTCAAGTTTTTCATTGATGTATTTATCACTATTTTTTTGTTTTTCTCTGCAGGCCCCAGCTGTTGAAGAATGCTCTGCAGAGAGCAGTGGAGAGAGGCCAGTTAGAACAAATAACTGGCAAAGGTGCTTCGGGGACATTCCAGGTTAGAAGCCAAAGGCTTGTTGTAGAGGCATGCCTCTCAATATTGGGGCTTTTAAGGACTTCCTCTAAAATTTGAACAAGGACCTTTGAGACTTTATTTCTATGGGTCGTACCTATCAGTATTGACTGTTTTAGCAATTAAAACTTAAGAGCCAGGCATGGTGGCACACAACTGTAATTCCAGTACCCTGGAGGCTGAAGGCTAGGGATCTTAAATTCAAGGCCAGTCTAGGCTTCATATCAAGACCCTGCCTCAAAATAAAGAGAAAATAAAGCAGGTTCCAGTGGCTCATGCCTATAATCCTAGCTACTCAGGAGACTGTGATGAGAGGATCTGTGTTTTGAAGTCAGCCCAGATAGGAAACTCTAAATAAAACTTAAAAATCCAAAGTGGAGCTGTGGTAGAGCACTAGCCTTGGGCAAAAAAACTCAGGGACAGCACCCAGGTCCTAAATTCAAGCTCCAGGACTAGCACAATAAATAAATGAGAAAAATTTAAACATTTATTCATTTAGAAATAACAATAGCAGATCCATTATATATTAAGATAAACAATTCATGAAAAATTGAATTTACTCCAAAATAAATTTGTTAAGAGAAACACTTTTTACATTTTTTTGCAAATATCTTTAATGTCTAGCTTTAATGGACACTAGTATCTGTTCAGTATATTTTGAGTTTATGAAGAAAATCCGTTCTTTCTCGAAGGGGTCACACTGATCAAGATACATTATATTTATAAGCTACTTTGTTAAATGGTAGCTCCTTTGTACAATTAAAGATAATAAAAAAAATTTTAAGAAAAAGGGAAAGGGTAGAATACTTCTAAGATAACTATCAGATGATTGTTTCTTTGTATCAGTCCTGGGATTTGAAATAAGGGCTTGGGCAGTGTCTCTTAGCTTTTTTTCTCAAGCCTAACTACTCTACCACTTTTAGCCATAGTTCTACTTACAGCTTTTGGTGGTTAATTAGAGATAAGAGTCTTATGGAGGGGCTGGGAATGTGGCTTAGTGGTAGAGTGCTTGCCTAGCATGCCTAAAGCTCTGGTTCAGAGCTTCTGAGTGGTGCTGTGGCTCAAGTGGTAGAGTACTAGCCTTATGCTAAAGAAGCTCAAGGACAGTGCCCAGGCCCTGAGTTTAAGCCAAAGGACTGGCAAAAAAAAAAAAGTCTTATGGAGCCGGGCACTGGTGGCTCATGCCTGTAACCCTAAATACTCAGGAGGATGAGCCAGTCCAGGCAGGAAAGTCCTTGAGTCTCTTATCTCCAACGTTATAACCACCAGAAAACCCAAAGTGAAGTTATGGCTCAAAGTGCTAGAGTGCTAGCTTTGAGCACAAAAGCTCAGGGACATTATTACCCAGGCCCTGAGTTCAAATCCTATGATCAACAAAAAAAAAAGTTTCATGGACTTTCCTGCCTGAGGTTGGCTCCAAACCATGATCCTCAGATCTGGGCCTTCTGAGTAGCTAGGATGAGTGAGCATCTAGCACCCAACCGAGAATTATTATTCATTCTTTTTTGTTTTCCAGTCTATGAACACCAAATGTCTCTTCATTGTAGGTCTTCAGTTTCTTTTGTTAAATTAAGTCCTAGAATGAATAGAAAGTATATTTTACATAAATGTCAGTTTATTTTTTAAATATATGAAAGGAGTAATTTTAAACTCAACTAAATATAGTAAGTATAGAACTTGGTTAAAAATTTACAGCCATTACATTCAAGTAAAGGCTAAATTTTGGATGCCAGCAATATATTAAACAAAAAACATTTAAGAGATCAGGCATGGTAGTACATGCCTGTAGATTCATTTACTATGAAGGTAGAGAGCATAAAGGAGGACTGTGATTCTATTACAGTTCTGCCTGAGAATCCCTTATCTCAACAAAAGTAAGCCACAGTATTACACACCTATGATTCCAACTGTATTGGAAGGTCACAGTCTAAGACTAACCTAGGGCAAAAACATGTTATACCATCTGAAAAATGGCTGAAGCAAAAAGGGCTGGAGACCTGATCCCTAGTACCACCAAAAACAAAAACAACCCTGAACATTTATAATAATAATTTTTATACCTGTAAGATGAAACTGTTAACTATGTTTGTCTCCATCCTAACATCCTGCACATGTTATTATCCACAGAACCATATGCCTCTATTACTAAAAATCACATGTTCAGGCTTCGTTTACTTATTCATTTTATTTTGATTTCTGCACATAATGGGCCTAGCACTTGCACCCAGCTGATCCTGCCAGTTGAGCAGTGCCTCCAGTACAGCTTTTTGGTTTGGTTATTTTGGAGGTGGGGTCTTACAGATTCTTCTGCTCTGGCTGGTTTCAAACCTTGATTCTCTGGATCTTGTCCTGAGTAGTTAGAATTACAGACATAAACCACAGCCAACTGGGTAAATAGAAAGCATTTTATAGCTTTTTAAATACAGGTAGCAAGCTGGACATTAGTGATCTGAGGATCTGAGGAACACGATTCAAAGCCAGCCAAGCAGGAAGTATGTGAGAACTCTCATCTCTAACAAACTACTGAAAAAAGCTGCAAGTGATGTTGTGACTCAAATGGTAGAACACTATTAGCCTTCAGCCAAAGAAACTTAGAGACAGAGCCCAGGTGCCAGGCACCAAAAACAAAAACATTTCAGCTCTTCAGAGAAAGCAGGGAAGTCCAAACAAATGACTTAGACAACTTTAAATTACTAAGGATGACTGACTTCTTAGCACATTGTTTTAAATTGGGTGTAAAATTTTATGCATATATTAATGAATAGAATTCTAGGCCATATAGCTAAGGTAGGTCACCATAGAAACTTAGGTCACCATTGCCACTGTAGCAACAACCCTCCTATGATGCAGTTCTTGACACCATGCTTTATATCTAATTTGTACATTCTCTTCCAGACTGACTTATTTCTTCAGAAGTTATAGTCAGTTACATTGATTGAATAGGAATATCCACAGGAAAGTAGTGTCAAGCCACAGTGTTGAATCAGCTTAAAATATGCAAGGCAAAAGACCCATTAGACCAACCCGTGGCTTTGCATGCAGTATAAGATTGTCCAAGCTGGGCGCTAGTGGCTCACACCTATAATCCTAGCTACTCAAGAGGCTGAGATCTGAGGATTGGAGTTCAAAGCCAAGCCTGGGTAGGAAAGTCCATGAGACTCTTATCTCTAATTAACAACCAGAAAACCAGAAGTGGTGCTGTGGCTCAAGTGGTAGAGCATTCACCTTGAGCTGTAGCGCTGAGGGACAGCACCCAGGCCCAGAGTTCAAGCCCATGACCAACAACAACAAAAAAAAGAGATTGTATCTTACACTTTGCTAAGAAACCACTGAAAAGTTTAACATTTTCAGAGTTCTGGTGGTCAAAGTTAGTCATGTATGTTGCTTTCACTAACTTTTTTTCTTATTCAAATGCCTTTCTCCAATCTTAAGTGAATAGAAAAATTCTTTTGCTCTTTAAAAGGGGGACCATTTTCCTTTGAAACATTCCTTTTCTCTCAACAAATAGTCTCCTCATTGTAGAATGGTATCACATGCAGAGCTGGTTGTTAGCTGTAAAGAATGATGCTGTGTTTTAATCATTTTGTTTTGTTTCTAACTTACTGCCTCAGTTTCTTGATTATAGTATTACTATATTACATCTTCATCATTAAAGCCTAAGTGTACTTTTGAAATTTTGTTATCAAGTTCTTCTGCATAACTTTTCAAAATCCTTACTTGTGTGTATATGTGTGTGTGTGTGTGTGTGTGTGTGTGTGTGCATGCACCTGTGCGTGCGTGTGTGTGCCAGTACTGGGGCTTGAACTCAGGATCTCAAGCTTTTGCTTACCTTTTTCACTCAGGGCTAGTGCCCTACCAATTAACCCATGCCTCTACTTTGGTTTTTTACTGATTGATTGATGAGTTTGTCTGCCCCAGGCTGATTCTAAATGATGATTCTCTTAGATGAGTAGCTGGGATTATAGGTGTGAGCCAATATACACAGCTTCCCCAACTCTTTACTGGTGTTCTTTTTAACTGTTCTCTCTCTGCTGAGTTACCTGGCATCTTCAGTGTCAGACTTAACATTCCTATACGGTTCTCTCCTCTTTCTCTAGGTTTCTTCTTTGGGAAACAAATCATTTCCTTTTCATTTGATGAAGAAGCATCTTAAGTTCAGTATTTTCCATTAGAATTTGTTTCTGGCAACATTCATTAATCATTTGAGAGACTTTTATGCATTCCCTCTTTATTTCTGGCTTCTAATTTATCAGTCTTCAAGGAACTTCTTTTTCCTTCAGCTCTCTTCATGTCATTTGGAATGTCCATAACTAACTTTATTTTTATTTTCATTTCATGTAAGCATTTCCTTATTATATTCACACTCTTCATGGCAGGATTGTGTTAATACTTTTCTACTGAAATATTTTGTCATTTTTGTGCCTTGTTCTCATTTTTTGGTGGCTGATGCTGATTTCTGCTTTTATTTCTGCAATTATGTGTCTCTCTTCTGAGACCAATCATTTCCCTCTGCAGTTTTCCAGTTCTTTCAGTTCTGCATAGCAGTTCAAGATCATTTTCTAGTTTCAGAGTTTGTTTTTCCATATTTTCCTGAGCTAGAATGTTCTTCTACTGGAATACAAGTAGCTCACTCATAAAATTAAAGACAGCAAGTATATTTAATTATTTCTGACTCTTTTTTTTTTTTTTTTTTGGTGCCAGTCATGGAGCTTGAACTCAGGGCCACAGTGCCGTGCTGTCCATGAGCTACAGCTGCACTTCTAACTTTTTCATGTTTAAGTCTCAATGGACTTTTTCTACCTGGGCTGACTTTGAACCTTAGACCTCATCCTCCTAAATAGCTAGGATTACAGGTGTGAGCCACTGGCACCTGGCTATTTAATTTTCTCTTTGTCACTTTTAGATTGTTCATGAATATATGTCCAGTGCTTTTTCTATGTTTCTAAAATGCTTTGTGTGATTGGTACTCTTTATGCTATTAATGTGAACTGTTAATTTGATTTTGTGGTAATTCCTTAAATGTTAGCTGCCATGTGGAATCTGGAAACCATATTAGTGAACTCTTCTTGTAGTCTGTTACCTTAAAGCCATTGGTCTGTCTTGAACTATGAGTGGATCTTTGAACCACATATTATAAGTAACACAATGCATTGGTTATTTGAAAAATAGTGGCTCACTGAGTTAGGCTACATAGGATTTTCAAATCTTCAACAATTCATCATCTAGTAACAAAAATCATAGTCATTGGTGCCAGCCATTGGTCTCATAAGAACACTGCTTAAGTGCTGGGTAAATATTAAAAAGATGATAGATACAAGTTTTCTACAACTTAAATTTTCTCTTGAAAGGTTGAATTTTGCACAGGCCTCTAATCCCAGCACTTGAGAGGCTGAGGCAGGAGGATCTTGAGTTCAAGGGCGGCCTGAGCTACACAGTGAAATCCTATCTCAAAAAGAGAAACAGACAGAGAGGAGGGGAGGGAAGAAGGTAGGTTGAATTTTGCCATTGGAAACAAATACTGTTGTTTTTCTTGAAGTGACAAGACTCACTTCTTAGGATCTGAATAGTTTATTAGTAGTTCCTTCAAGTCAAAAAGATCTATAAAAAACACCATTAGTTCAGCTCACCATTATACATGCATATGTAGCACATGTGCTTTATACATACTTTCATTGCATAAAATGTTTAAAAAGGCTTGTTAGGGCTTGAGACTTAAATAGTTATTTATGCTTGAGGTTATTCCTAAGTGAAACTGGCATTAACAACAACAAAAACAAACGAAAATGTAAGTATCTGTCAGTGAAGACCATAACCACGTGCCATCAGTACAAATATCAACACAAAAAATAACAGATCACATGTTTGTTTTGTTACAAAGATAGTGTTGACCTTTAAGATCCTCTAAAAGGGTATCAGAACTTCTAGGAATTTGTGGACCACTCTTTAAGAGCTAGTCTACTTATATCTGCCTGCTTTGTTTCCCAGCCTTCTCAGCCTTGAAATATGTTACATAACATTCTTTGTGATGGGAGAAAGGACTTAAATTGGGGCTTGAACTCAGGGCCCAGTGCTTTTGCCCAGACTGGCTTTGAACTTCAGTCCTTTAGGTCTCAGCCTTCTGAGTAGGTAGGATGACAGGTGTGAGCTACCAACACTCAGTTTGCTATTTAATATTCTATTATATGATATCATAAGTACTTACAAAATTTTTCTTGGTATAGGGCACCGGATACAAGGTAGAGGAATTATGGCTATTTTCCTTTTAGAATTAAAAAGGCTTTTTTATTGTTTTGTTTTTCAGATTCATAAAAAGTATTTTCAAAAGTCTCAGTTTTTTTAGGAACATAGCAAGTTAACTTGTTTATTAGGGTAGAACTGTCAGTATCTTTTGGTAAATAGAGGGTAGAAGAAAATATCCTTAAGAGGGTTGGGACTTCTCAGTTAGATTGATACCTGGTGAATGGGAAGAGAAAGTCCCTAACCTGACAATTTATTGTAAAACATATCTGTGCTAATGCAGGAACTCCGACCCACCTGGTGCAGAGGAGTCTTGTCTTGACCTGCTTTGGGAGAGTGTTGTCTTGATGCTTTTCTCTTCCTCCTTGGAAAACAGCTGAAGAAATCAGGGGAGAAACCCCTGCTTGGTGGAAGCCTGATGGAATATGCAATCTTGTCTGCCATTGCTGCCATGAATGAGCCGAAGACCTGCTCTACCACTGCTCTGAAGAAGTACATCTTGGAGAACCACCCAGGGACCAATTCTAACTATCAAAGTAAGAGCAGAGTTAGAGTTGTATACACTTAACTGAAAATGGGGGGATTTTCTTGTGGAGGAACAAAAAACTTGGAAGCTAGGCACTAGTGGCTCACACCTATAATCCGAGCTACTTGGGGCTGAAATAGCTTACGCAGGAAAGTCCATGGGGCTATTTCCAATTAACCACCAAAAAACTCTGGAAATCATGCTACTAATATCAACATATTAAGTATTGGCTATGAAAAACTAAGAGGAAATTACAAATTTATCACTTAAAAATTAAACACAGAGCCAGCCTACCTACTAAGGAGGCTGAAGCTCTAAGGATTGTGATTCAAAGCCAGCATGGGCAGGAAAGTCCCCATGAGACTCTTAACTCTAACCACTCAAAAAACAGAAGTGAAGCTGTGGTTCAAAGTGGTAGAGCCCTAACCTTGAGCAAAAGAGCTCAGGGATAGCACCCAGAACCAGTGTTCAAGCTCCACACCTAACAAAAAGAAAAAAAAAATTAAATGGAAATAAGACTTACTCTATTGTATTTTATTTAATAAGCTTTTTTTCTTTTTTGAGAATGGGGTCATAACTGTGAAGATCACACTGGCCTTCAACCCAGTCCTCCCTCAGCCTCCATAGTGCTGGGATTGCAGTTGTGTACTACCACACCTAACCAGGTCTTATCATTAATTCACAGCAGCTTCTGATCAGAATTAATTTTACTTTACTATAAATTTTTTTTCTGATATTTTGTAGTAATTTGGATAAAACTCTTAAATGACCTTTTAATTAGTTTACTTTTACCTTTAATAGGAAGTATTTTTGTTTTGTTTTTTGCCAGTCCTGAGGCTTGCACCCAGGGCCTGAGCACTGTCCCTGAGCTTCTTTTTGCTCAAGCTGGCACCCTGCCATTTAAGCCATAGTGTAATTTCCAGCTTTTTCCATTTATGTGGTGCTGAGGCTCTAACCCAGGGCTTCATGCATACTAGGCAAGTGCTCTACCACTAAGCCATGTTCTCAGACCTGTTTTTATTTCTTTTATCAGCCATGGGGCTTGAACTCAGGGCCTGGGCACTGTGCCTGAGCTCTTTTTTTTTGCCAGTCATGGGGCCTGAATGTGGGCCTGGGTGCTGTTCCTCAGCTCTTCAGCGCAAGGCTAGTGCTCTACCATTTGAGCCACAGTGCCAGTTCCAGCTTTTTTCGCTTATGTGGTGCTGAGGAATCAAACCCAGGGCCTCATGCATGCAAAGCAAGCACTCTACCATCGAGCCACTTTCCCAGCCCCTGCCTGAGCTCTTTTGTTCAAGGCTAGCACTCTACCACTTTGAGCCACAGGACCACTTCTGGTTTTCTGGTGCTTAATTGGAGATGAGTCTCTGCCTGGGCTGGCTTCAAACTGTGATCCCAAGCCTCCGAGTAGCTAGGCAAGAGCTATTGGTGCCTGCCCAATGCTTTTTTTTTTTTTTTT